CAGGAGAATTGCCTGAACCCAGGAGACGGAGGTTGCGGTGAGCCGAGATCGCGCCATTGCACTCCAGCCTGGGTAACAAGAGCGAAACTCCATCTCAAAAAAAAAAAAAAAGAAAAAACTAAGGCTTCATTAAGACCCTTGTCCAAGATCACACAACCAGTAATTGACAGAGCCAGGACTCACACATGGAGTTGTCCAATTACAAAGTCAAGGCTCTTCATCACTATCTTACTATTAAATAATCGGTGCTAGTATTTATGTACTTTAAAATACCTTCACATGAGGTAATGGATATGTTAATTAGCTTTCTTTATTCCACATTGTATTCATAAATTATAGCATCACTTTGCACTCATAAACATATACAATTAGACATTATAATTATAGATGTTATTGATTTACAATTAAAAAAAAAAAAAACCCTTCACATGTCTTTTAACATAAGACCATCAAGCCAGAGAATATTATGGAATTACCTGGTAAACTGATGTCTCTGCTTCCCCTTACTGGCAGAGCTCAGTGGGAGCCTCACTCCTTGCTGCCATTCCTTCCTTCCTGCTGAGTTGCCGTTTTCTACTCCCCAACACTCCCAACCTGCATATTCAGGTGAGTCACAAATTCTGTCTTTGAGTTTCTCTGGCTTTTCCTCATTGTATGATCCTCAGCCTGTAGACATTTCCCAGGCTCTGAAGCCCAATAAACAAGAAAAGATGCTGATGTCCTACTGTGGAAATCACTAATTGGGAAGGTGACTTACTGCAAATGGGCAGAGAGAGAGGAGACTGATGGAAATGGGCAATGGCATGGAGCTCTAGGGGTCCACCGGCTGCCAGAAATTTTCCTACTTGGGGTGCTGGGGACATCTGTGAGAGACAGTGTCTGAGGGCTTGCAGATCTCTTCCAGGTAATCTGGCTTTATGACCTGAAGACCCATTTAAAAAGACCTAAGGGCACTGGAAAATGTTTTATACAGGGTACATTTGGGCAATGAATGTTTATGGATACAGGGATGCATACGGCATGTTTCCTGTGGTAAATTTTCAGTGTTGAAATCTCAAAAGCAAATGAAATAAGATCCTCCCTTTTTTAGTTTATTTACTTGAGAAATTGGTACTTTGGCTTCCTTAGGCCTAGCTGGCCTCATGCCACTTACATTTGTAAACTCTGCAGTTTATTTCAGAAATGCATGGATGGTCCCGTAATATAAAATCTATAAATGTAATTTTATCTGAGCATGGAATGCATTGTAGCCTAAAAAGTCTGCAGCATCCTTAATGGGCAAACAACACTGGCAGCCTCCTGATAGAGAGAAATGTGACAAGAATGCCCACTGCTCCTACAATTCACTATTTAACACGGTATTTGAAATGTCAGCCAATACAATTAAACAAAGAATGTAGAGGGAAAAAACTTGGAAAGGAGTAAACATAAAAACCCAAAGAGAATCACTGGCCAACTACAAACAATTAGAGAACTTAGAAAAATGCTGGTGTACACATAGGGTCGCAAGTTGACGAGTAGCACCCAGCAGCCATCTTGAAACAGTCTCCCTGGCCCTCCTCTTGATAATGGTCTCTGTTGAGGTGTAACCACACAATTAACTGCTTTAGACTTTCTGATTTTCAAATAATATGTTTATCCTCCCAACTCTGAATATTCTCTTCAAGACCATGTCCTCAGATTACCCAAAAGAATCTTCCTGAACCAATATACAGAATATAGTAAGCTAATTAAGCATTTTTCCTAAGCAGCCTATTAAAAAAAAAAACTCAATGGAATTTTTGGCATGTTTATCATCTGAAAGCCACCAGCTGTACTCGATTTGTCCCATCTCTTGCGACAGTGCTGGTCCTACCTGAGACTTTCCTACTTGTGTGAATTGGGTCTTCCAGGCATTATCAAAGGAAAAGCAACTTTCCAGGGAAGGGTGGTTGCAGTAATCATTGTGCATATGTCTCTTGCAATAATACTTAAAATCAGATGGTGCTGACCCACTTAGAAGTAAGGATTAAAGAAATCTGCTTAGAATTGAATTGAGTCCACCGCAACTTGCCAAGAGAAATGCATTCCACAGAATGCCCTTCAGAGAACCTCTCATTAGCCAGACTGCAAACCTTTGATTTCTTTTCATTTGATATATGACTGTCTGGAATTCATTTAAACATGGATGTGATGCATGTTCATATGTATGTTCACAGCATATTAGTTTAGTCTTTTATTTTTCCTGGACAACATATGCAGTCTTATGTAGGACTTAGTCATTTGTAGCTCTAACCTAAATTTTAAAAGTTGTATATTTTTAATAGAAAGTATATATATTCTACATAACTGCTTTGCAAATTTGTATAGAGTTCCAACTACATCAGAATTTTGAAAAGCAAAGCATTGCCTTTTAAACTGGAACCTTTTGCTGAACCTTTAATTTAGTATTACAAAAAAAATGAATAGCAGAATCTGTTACTTCTCCTACCCACCAGATACCATAGAATCTGCCCAGAAATGTCTCCTTGCTTTCTCTAACCTCGTGAAGTTTGTATTTATTCTTCTGTCTATACATTTGTTTCTATCTCATATTTGATGTTATCCATCACTAATGTGTTTTCTTTTAAATGTGTTCTGACTACATGTCTTATTGCAAATGGATTTACATCAGTATATCTCCAATAGACTGAAAATTCTCAGAAGGTAAGGCTCTTTGTAGGATTTAACAAAGTGGTTTCTCATCTTGGTTCTGCATTAAGATCACCTGGAGAGATTTTATAAATTGAGTTGCCTGGATGCTTCTCCTGAAGGTTCCAATTCAGTGGGTGTATGGTAAGGCCCACTCTTCAGTATTCTCAAAAAGCTTCACAGGTAGTTCTGACACACAGATAAAAGTTGAGAGGCACTTTTTTTTTGTTTTTGAGATGGGGTTTCACCCTGTTGCCCAGGCTGGAGTGCAATGGCGCAATCTCGGCTCACTGCAACCTCCACCGCCTGGGTTCAAATGATTCTCCTGCCTCAGCCTCCCGAGTAGCTGGCGCTACAGGCGTCCACAACCACATCCAGCTAATTTTTGTATTTTTAGTAGAGATGGGGTTTCACCATGTTGGCCAGGCTGGTCTTGAACTCCTGATCTGCCTGCTTCGGCCTCCCAAAGTGCTGGGATTACAGGTGTGGACCACCGAGCCTGGCCAAGAGGCACTCTTTTAATATCATGTGTAATTCTTATCAATAAGTACCCAGCATAATTGCCTGGCACATAGACAACCCTCAAAAACTGTTAACATAATTGGTAAACTGGTTTGAGATGAAGTTTTATGAGATGTCTTCCTTCACTGGAGCAGCCTTGGCAGTCATTGCATCAGGTAAGTCCAAAGATACTGAGTAAATAACACGCTGGCAAAGCCACAGCTACACTTGCTTGAGTTGTGTCATTTGAGCCCACCACATTATTGACTTAACCCGGACAGGTCCAACCTATTTTGTAATTAAAATATATATATATATATATATATATATATATTTTTTTTTTTTGTAAAGAGATTCTGTTACTAACAACCTAAGATTACAGAAAGAATATGTCTTTGTTGTTATAAAACATTCTTTGTATTTATGAAGTCTTTTTCCTTGAGTTAAAAATGGATAAATAGGCCGGGCATGGTGGCTCATGCCTGTAATCCCAGCACTTTGGGAGGCTGAGGTGGGTGGACCACCTGAGGTCAGGAGTTCAAGACCAGCCTGACCAACATGGAGAAACCCCATCTCCACTAAAAATAAAAAAATAAAAATTAGCTGGATGTGGTGACGCATGCCTGTAGTCAGCTATTTGGGAGGCTGAAGCAGGAGAATCGCTTGAACCTGGGAGACAGAGGTTATAGTGAGCCAAGATTGCGCCATTGCACTCCAGTATGGGCAGCAAGAGCAAAACTCCATCTCAAAAAACTCCCCTCACCCTAAAAAAGAATAACTGTGCAGTCAAATGAGAGCATCATATAAAAGATTTCAGAGCTGTTATATGATTCAACAAGTGAAAATTCCCCCAGATTTGCATGTTTGGTTTTGATGTGTTATGTTTGGTGATGTAATGGAAGTCAGTGTTATATTTTCTTAGTGTAAATCAATTCCAATTTTCCTCCAGCAGTGATTAGTTTGTAGTGATCCTAAAGCTGTGAGAACTAACTGGACTTTGACAGGAGAACCTGAAGGCAAACCTCAGCACTTACAGTGGAAAACTGGTCTTTCTGATCTCCTCTGGAGTGCTTCTCAAATGAGAGTGCACCCGAGCCACCTGGAAACCTTGTTAAACATTCAGATTCCTGGGCCTCACTACCAGAGGTTCCCACTGAGTAACTTAGCCATAGAGCCTGGGAATCTGTATGTTTAATGGCCATTCCAGGTTGATGTGGGAGGTGTGACACCTGCAGAAAGATTGCTGTGGGGTGCACTTAGTTTTTTCTTACTTCAGTAGCTGAAGGAAACCGATGCAAGGGCTTAACAATCTACGCCATGATGGGAGTTAGCTTGTGCTAGGCCTGTCTTATACTATTTTATTTAAAGGAGTTTTTCTTTAACAAATATGCTTGTACACCAAAGAACCTTATATGCCCCTTGGAGACATTTATTGCTGGCTGAAATTCAGTCTTGGAGCCAATGTTTTCAAATCCAATTAATTAAACTGTTTTACCAAAGCTGTTGGGAATGTTTTCACAAATCTTGCCCTTTAATTTGAATGAAAATAGGATACAGACTTCACTAAAACAACTTCAAATGTAATTTGCAATCTAATCAAAAGAGATTAATATTAAATAATCTGACAACGTTCTCTACAGTGGGGAGCAGCTGGTAAACAATGCTGTGAAAGTGCTCAACTAAAATGGCAATCCAGGCTGAGAGCCTCTACGGGGCAAGGGGAAGGAGGCAGAAGGGAGATCACCGCTTCCAGCGCCCCTGCACCTGTAAGCTTCCCTGCTCCAAGGTAAGGAGCCAGTGAAGAGGGCTCAAGGCTAGTGGCTTGCCCTTCTGTCTGCCTTTAAGTTTTCTAGTCTTTCCCCTCTTCTTCACTCCTTCCTCTCCATTTTTTCTTTTTCTTACTTTTTCTCAGAAGTGTGAGTGAAATCTGTGCCCCAGATCCCTGTGAAGGTGGTTATTTCACCTTTTATAAAGATGGCTGGGTGATGCATTTAACTTCCAGGCTCCAGTCCAAAAGGCCCATCTTCAGGTTTGAAAGAGCCTAGCAGTTTGCAAAACCAACCCGATCTTATCCTTTCTTTGGATGCTCACAGTGGTAATTAAAGTCTATTGTGATAATTTCTGAAACAAGGAGGAAATAGGAAATTAGTGCTCCTGGAACTGAACTGGAACCCCAGACTAGCTGCCAATATGTGGATGAATCACCAAAAGGTCTGGGAGCTATTTGCCATCTATCAGCACAGAGGGAGGTTAGAATGAAAATTGGCAAAAAACAAATGACTCAGTTTTCCTTTTTAGCAAATGCTAAATTACAGCTGCCTGTTTTCCCTGTTTTAAATAAAAGGGATGAAACCACAACTGCCCATTGGTAGTCTAGGATGAAGAGCTAACAACTGCTTCCTGCATTGGTGTCCATGGAAAACCGGATGCTTCCCTACTCATACGTGCACTGGGCAACCTTTTGCAGAAGCTGATGTACCAGGAAGGGGACATACAAGTCAAAGAAAGATTCAACCATGTATTTCCTGCTTTGTCAAAGACTCATGTGGTGGGAAAGAATGAATAAAGCCTGTGTTTCCGCCCCAACTTTTCTATTTGCATGCTATTTGACCTTGGCAGGTCATCCAACTTTTTGAGGGTTTTTCCTAATCTGTGAAATGAGAATAATAACAGCATCACAGGGCATTTGTGAAGGACAAGTGAGCTAGTGTACTTTAGTTAATGCCTTCACATTTTAAGCCTATGAAAATGTAAAATTATCTTTGCTGCTGTGAAGGTATTTGGAGGGTGGCAACAGTTACTCAATCACAGAAATGGGGCAAGAGAGAGGAGTGGAAACTTTTCTTGCATTTAGAGAGGAAATAGTCAGTGTTTGAGTAAACATATCTGTTATCACAGATATATTTTTATATGTAAGAAGATGGACCTCCATTTTAAAAATTCAATCATGTCATCAATGATTTCAAGACATTAAGTAGTAAATGATCGATAGTCGACATTTCTTATCAAAGTAATAATACCACCATTTAACACTTCCTTTAGACTGAGCACTGTGATAAGTGCTTCCTTTCATATAATCTCACAGCCCTCTGATGTAGGAGTTCTCAACAACCACTATTAACAACTCTGTGCAACAGATATTATTATTCTCACTTCACATATAATGAAACTGATAACAATTGAATTTTTAAAAGCTTTCCCCATTTTATATACCTCATGAGCAGTAGAATATGGTTTAAAACCTAGGTGTAGCGCTCAGTGCGGTGGTTCACATCTGTAATCCAAGCTTTTTGGAAGGCCAAGGCAGGAGGATCGCTTAAGTTCAGGAGTTAAAGACCAGCCTGGGCAACATAGTGAGACTTAGGCACAGTGGCATGTGCCTGTAGTCTTGGCTGAGGTCGAGGATTGCATGAGCCCAGGAGGTCAAGGGTACAGTAAGCCATGATTGTGCCACTGCACTCCAGCCTGGGTGACAGAGCAAGATCTTGTCTCCAAAATAAATAAATAAATACCAGGTGTGTCTGACTCTAAAGCTTATGTTCTTAACCACTGTATTAGTTTGTTCTCATGCTTCTAATAAAGACACACCAGAGACTGGGTATAAAGGAAAGAGGTTTACTGGACTCACGGTTCCACATGGCTGGGGAGGCCTCACAGTCATGGCAAAGGAGAAGCAAAGGCACATCTTACATGGTGGCAGGCAAGAGAACTACCAAGCAAAAGGAGAAAATAAATTTATAAAACCATCAGATCTCATGAGAACTCACTCACTATCATGAGA